ATTTTTTGCCCCGTCATACCCATATCTTTTCTTTTTTTTAGAAAAGTAATTTTTACATCAATTAATTACAGTGAATTACTAGAGCTATTACTTTTAATTGCTCACTTATTTATATTTAACATAAATAATCAAGCAAAAATTATTTGATTAGATAATTCATTACAAATTTTTAGTATAACTGTCACTATTCTATTATTTTTTTATATTTGTCGTGTAGCGTGTTCCTTTCCACCCTTGGTTGGTTGAAAGTATATTTTTGAGTCGTGAATAGAGAATCCAAGGGTCAGACTTGTTTGAATATATTTTTGAGTCATGAATGGAGAACCCAAGGTTGTTTGAATGTTTTGATGTGCGTGTGGGGGCATGGTCCCATCATTGACGTGATTAATTTTATTGTTACATTTTTTATTATTAAAATTTGTGGAGTATATTTAAGCTTAACACCATCGTTCTAATCAAAGAATAATAAGCTTAGAAAATAAATTCGAAGACGGACTCGGACGAAAGCTGAGAGTTTTGGGCCTCTTAATTCAATTTTCTGACACTTTTTTGGAGTCATTTCATGATAAATGCCCTTCAACAACTTTGTCAAATCGAAGGCCATTCCTCCCCAACACCCGTTTTGTCTCCGAACTTCTTATTTATGATGGGGATGGTGTTTAGCATCAATACGTTAAGATTTTTTCTCATTAGATAGTACGAATAATGTAATCCTGATACACAGATAATTATATAATCGTAAATAAATTGAGTAAAAGTTGACAAATTTAAATCGCATTACTTCTAGTGATTTTTTATTTTTGAAACTCTGTATCCTAAGCGGACATAAGTTGCTTGCAGACCAATTCCTCTCTTTGCTTCGGTTTAGGAACTCAAAACATTTCCAATGTCGTATGCTAGTTTTATATAGCTAGAACCTATTTTCATACATGAATCGAAACATCAACCCTACAACCCTACAAATGACAGTAACAAACAATCTCTTTACTTGTATTTCTTTTGCTTCTTCCACATGTACTTTCCTTTCAACTTGCATTTAGTTTCCTTGTCTTGCGCTTGCAAATCTTTTTCTAGGGAACTTTAATTGATCATTCATTGCATGTTTTGATTTTCATTTAAGAAATAAAATATTACATTTTGTTTTAAAATTAAGTTTCACCCTCCATTCCTTTTGCTAGGGCAAACTTGTGCACTCAACTTATATTTAAGTCCTAGAACAGGATCTGATTAAAAGAACCAGTAGAGGGTTATTTTTGCTACCCAGAGTGCCCTTTATCAACAACTTCTCCAATGAAGGTGGATTAAAATACTCTCCAGCATTTGTCGTAGTGAGTGAAGAGAATTGTCACAGTCGGTTAAGAAAAATAGTGCACGTTACGAAATGTTGTGACGTTTAATTTTGCATCCTAATATTTTTCTAAAGTGCATCATGACCTCCTCTTCACCGACTGGGGCAGATACATAGCACGACATGAGAGAATTTTGATAGTTGAAGTTAAAAAAAAAAGAGAAAAACTTTTAAAGGCCCGGGTATGTCCGCGAATTGACCAAATTGTCCCCATCAATGCTGAGCCAAGTAGAGGAACAAAATTAGTGTAATTGGGTTGTTGCATCAAGGAGTGAAAAGGTTGTGAACATGCGACCACGGTACCTATGGTTATACTCTCCAAACCACCATGAGAAAAGCAATACCCATCGCTGTATATAATATGACACTAATATTTTTAAATTTTAATCATTCATTCTGTTTATATTTCACAGACAATCGTTCATGGTTGGCTGTCTATTTCATTACCACTAGACTTCATTTATTTGTAAAAATTATTTAATTATCCCATCACTGTAATCTTGTTCCTTCCCAACAAACTGTATTATTTGTAGAAATTATTTTACTATTACATCGCTGTATTATATGATTGTGATATATTTATTTTTTAATCATTTTCATTTTCATAAAACTAAATTTTTTTTTTCTATAGTAAAAAACACGCACCCACTCTCACGAGTTATACCATTGGGTTAGATCCTTGATCCATTAAACTTCATCATTTGTAAAAAAAATATATATATATAATATGTTTCTCAGTTACTATTTTATTATATATTTTTTTTTCGACAGGAAATTTTATTATATTGGATCAACATTGGGGAATTTTGTATTAATTCTGTGATATATATATTCGCATATATATATATATATTTATATTGCCAACGTACGTGGCATTTGATATATCCTTGTATATTCTTATATATAAAAATGCATTACGATGTAGTTTCCATTTCTGTAGAATTGGAGCATGTCTTCATTAAAAAGTCAATCAGCATCATGCCACATGGTGATGTCTATCTAAAGATGAGACCAAGCATATGATGATGCTTAATTAACAGCTCAGTTTGAACTGATTTTGTTTAATTACATAACAAGCAAGTTATGGAATAAGGTAGCACTCAAAAGATTCTCCACCGTACCTTCAAATTGATGTAAATATATTAGCATTCAATAATTAATAAATATGATCGCATCAAAGATTTGTTACTTTAAAAGATGATAATAATATTCCTCGTGCATGTATATATATATATATATATATATATCTTCAAATTAAACTTCAAAATGTAAAAAGACAAGACACCTATGTTTCCCCTCCAAACCATGCGGGAAATGTGGGACTGATGCTGACTTTGCATGGCCATTAAAGAGTCCTTCCATCAGTCTGCCTTCTCATCTCACATCATCACAGCTCTCTTTCTCTCTCTAGTGGGTTAGAGAGAGAGAGAAAGATAGTAGGAGGCTCTTCAGTCTAACCAAGATAGTTCTGAGACTGATCTCTGCTGCTGACTCGTTGGTTCGTGAACATATCAATTTGGTTGGCATGGATGTGTTTTTGATCGAACGAAGCAGGAGCTGAGTTTGGTTATGGCTGTCTCGTCTTGGACTGAAGGGTTTCCTTCTCTCTATATCGCTTTATATATATATATATACACACACACATAGATATAAACATTTGAGTTTTGTGTTTGTTGTGCTGATATATTCTCTAATGAATTCATAGAGACTGCTATGTTGTTCAGTTTTAAGCTCGAGGAAAATGACACGCGAGCGGTTATTGATTCGGTAGAAAGAAGGTTTGCACCTTTTCTCTCTAATTTATTTATGCCACATAGGTTACATATATATAAAAAAATGCATGCAAAAAATTAAATAACTCCCTAATTAAAAATTGTCTTCTTATTTGTTCTAATTAACGACAAATTCGCCGCAATACACTATTTTACCCTTTCTTATTAAAATTTTTATTTCTTATTAAATTATTTTTATTATCTTTTCTCTTATCTAAATAATAATTATACTATTTGCCTTAATTTTATTATTAGTATCAATTTATCATAAAAATGGACAAAAAATAAATAGATTTGTAACTAAATTTTTTAAAATGATTAACTTATTATTAAAATTTTATTATTTATAATAAAATTTATTATACTCGGTTTAACTTTTTAATCATAGAACAATACCTTCTTCTTCATACATTATATTGATGAAAAATTAGTAAATTACTTAAATAATACCTTCTTTTTATGTAATATATTCATATAAAATTAATAGATTAATTAAATTGTTTTAAAATTTTCTACTTAATATTTTTGTTTAAACAATTAATTTCAAAAATTGAAGATAAATTTATGAAAATTTAATAGAGAGTATGTCATCAAATTAGTATATTTTTTTTATAATTTATTTCAATACCAAAAATAAATTAAGTATAATTCAATAAAAATTTAAAAAGGGCATTATGGTCATTTAATGAAATATAGTGTAGACATTGAGACATTTTACAATAAAATGTAATAGTTCATAGAGTATTATGCACAAAATTATACTTAAAGATTTATTTGCAAATTGAAATATAGTTGATGGTTTTTTTTACACTTTACCCAACTTTCTATATCAACAGTGTCAAAGTTAAAGTATACAATACTTTAGGGGTATTCTATACATGATATCACTGGCTAATGTACAAACATAATTTTAGATTTTCTTTTTTGAAAACTCCCAATTTCTCATCTATCAAAATAAATTGAGAAGTTTTATGACTTTGAATTGATAGGGACAGTGACCACAAAATGTGAGTATCCATGAGGTATTGTATACTTTCTCTTAACACGAGGGTCTCCTACTTCCTTTTTTGACCTCCGGCTGTAACAATTTGTTGACTCTTTTCATCCCCAACTTCCCAAGCTTACATTTCAGTTTCTTCCCGCCCATATCCTACTGAGTTCTGATCTTGGTTGATTTTAGAAGTTAAGTCTCTCTCGCCTCTCTATTTCAAAGATCAGCAGTGGGCAAGTTCTGTGATTTACACATCCTGTTCAACAACAACAATGGTCGGTCCAACATTCAACAATGGTCAATGCGTACTAGTATGTGTGTCTATACACACACACACACACACACACACACAAAAGGTTTTCCTTTTAAAGTGTCAGGTTTAATCATAAACATCCTGGAGCTGTAGTTTCAGGGATGGGAGAATCTAGTAACCAACACTTTCACGACTCTGCCATCTCCAACGACTCATCTGAGGTTTGTGTTGAGAACTCGAGAGTTATATATTATATAAAGATTACTAACAGGTATATTGCCTAGCGGTACAAGTCTCATACTTTCGAAAGGGAAATCAGGGATTCGAACCTCAGTGGAGGCACGGTGTGTGTCCCCCAATTAGGAAAAAAAAAAATACTGTATAAAGATTAATTTGAAGATTTTTTGTTCGATGGCAATAGAAACAAGAGTGATCACATTGTCCACTAAATAGTAAATACACAGTAACACATACCACCCACATAATGTATGATCTTCCAGGATGCATAAGCCATATGTAGAAACAGGACGTATATAAGTATGAAACCTAGAAACATATGTAGAAGCAACACTTTATCTATTCAAGGCAGTCATTAGCAGTTCTACTCCAGAAAATATTTTTATGAAGCAAAAATAGTTGGTGAAACCCTCCGGGATCAAGCTCTAATTTATTACGCCTCCAAAAAAATATTCAGGAAGACTCGGCAAACTAATAATACAACGAACAACATGGCAACTGAAATTTTACAAATTCACTCAACTATCTTCATCTTTCTTATTCTTTTTAAATTTGTTGAAAATGGGAGAACCGTGAACCCAAACCTAGCTCAACAGATTTGAAGCTTAAAATGTCTGAAAATACAATCTCTCTCACTATTCTACAAAGGTTGGCATGTTTGCATAAAGAAGAGTGAAGAATAGCTGAACTTCTGGTATGGTTTGGATGATTTGTATAAACCTGTTCTTGCTTGGTTCTTCAAGCAGTAGTGGATCCATCTGTGCGATTCGTGGCAGAAGTTTGGCTAGAGGCATCCCTGACAACAAATTGGCTTCTCCACAAACAACCTTGATATCTTCCATTAGTGCATCCACCACCGTTTTTAACGATATGTCAACAATATTTCCGAAATCAGCACTGCAAGCACAAAAACAGAAATTACTGGGAAAAAGATTGAACAAATTGAATTTTGGTTGGCTGATGTTTAGATTTCAGTCCCACCTGTCCAAAAACAAAACAATGTGATTTTTGGGTATTCCGAAGTACTTCAATGAAGAAGCCATCAAATAGAACTCCTACAAGTAATTTTTTGTTAGCTTAAAAGTAAATCTATTATATTGGTTTTTGTACGGCATCACTTCTCTCATTTTGTAACTGTAAACAAAGTTTTAGAAAATCTAAACAGCAGAAGTTGTAGTATATACTGGATAATATGCCCCCTGGACGTTATTACAATGCATTCTTCATCGAGTATCTTCCAACCAGTCACTTAAAAAGTGCTGATTAACAGGTTCGGCTCTCTACCGATTCCATGCAAGAACACCAGTCCAGTAAGAGGCTGTAGCAAATCACTTGAAACAATTGAAATTGTCTTGCATGGTGTTTCTTCCCTGGATTCTGACCAACCGTTGGCCAATGTATTACAGCCATAATTGAAATTTGCACTCACAATGGACTCATGCAATTAATTGCTACATTTAGCTTAGTATTTCAAAATTGTTGAAATCTAGAAGTAATAGTACCTTGATAACACTGCACGTGTCTCAACCATAAGTTGATCAAATTTGGTGACATCAGAAGCATCTGTGTTGTCACTGCTGGAGGATGTGATAAATTTGTAGAATCTAGCGTCCTCAGGCATTAAATAATTCGACCAATGATGAGGGCTCCCTGTGCTCATGAAAATGTCCAGTATCTTCACAACGGTATCGTGAATTACAGTGGTGTTGAAGATATCCATCAACTGCTTTCTGCACAGAAGAAGTTTATAAATAGTTTTGAAGGACCTGAGATAGGTTGAATTAAAATATTCTGTGCAAATTCAGAACTTAGTTACAGAAAAGAAAATAAGAAAGAAAGAACTCAATTAATCCAAACAGACTCTTGGAGGAGAAAGAAGAGAGATTATCACCCATCTTAGTTTTGCTTGGATATCTTTCACTTGTCCATAGGAACTTTTTTGGAGCTTCTTGATCAAAATTTAGGGATCTTTCCTTGGGGGTGTTTTAAAGTGCCATCAACCACAAGGGTAACAATTGCCAACTAGCAATGCCTCAATAGACTTATGGGAAGAAAGGAATATCAGATTCTTTTGTTATATGGTAAAAATCTACATCGTAAGTCTAAAAGGCGTTGATCTCTTTAAGAGGTTTTAGTAAGGAAAATTCACAAGACTTAAAAACAATGGAAACAACACAACATATTGCATTCCTTCTTTTTACTCCCTCTTTCCCGCACTTTTTTTGGTTTGTCTTTTCCGTGCAGGGTCAGGGAAAGAGGGAAACAGTATTCCTTTTGTTGTATCTGAGTCTCGATGCTCTATATAAACAGTACAGAAAATAGTTCAGATAGGTCCCTTCTGATGATTAGGTACCAAATACACATGCTAAATTTCAAGGTGGTAATGGAAGGCTCACTCTTTGAGAATTTCGGTTGCTGCTGCCTGCATATTAGAAATCAAGGTGGGCATGCCATAATTACAGAGAAAATCGGAACTTGCCAGAAACTGTTGCTGGTCACTCCTATCAATTAAATCAGTTTCCTCCTGTAGAAAAAAAGTCATGGATCAAAATCTTGTTTTGTTTCCATTAAAGCGAAAAAAATATTTCTATTTCCTAATGAACCAAAAAGAAAGATGGGTGAAAAATCAAAACCTGAAACAACTCTGTTTCTATCAGAAATACAAAAAAAGCTTGAAGCTTACAGAAACAGCCAAAAACACTGAAATGATCATATGTCAAGAGCAATCTAAAAAACTAATAAAAAACAGTGTCCATTATGCAGATACTTGTGTCAAAATATTTGAATTCATGTAAATTACATATGTCAAACCTATTATGTGTCATATCATTTGGAATCCATTGTACTTGTTTATACTAGCATATAGCTTGTCTAATATTTGGAATATTGGCATTTACAGGAATGTGAGTTTTTGACATGCAATGTAAGAAAGAAGATCTCAGGGCCCCCCTTCTGTTTCCACCTTTTGGGACTTATTTTTTTTCGATTCAAAGGGATGCCCTCGAGCTTAATTTTTATACGACAAGAAAGCTGTTACTTCTTCTAGAGGGTTTGATTAGACAATTCAACGTGACTGGAATCCTCCTCCAAAGGGTACACAAAACTTTATTTTAAGCGCTTTTGAAAGGCAAAGTCCATTCAACATCAAATTTCAATCATATTCAGATCATCATCAATATCCTTGCCTAATTTCATATGAATGGTTCGGCTGAATGAATTTTCGTTTCTCAATCTTTTCTATTACAAGCCATCTCTCCTATAATATTCAACTTTTAAAAATCATTTCTAATGATCACTTTGGAGTTTGGATTATCTTTTGGTTTTGAAGCATGATCATTGTATCATCAATATCCGACTCTTAATAAAATTTACATTCCATATACTTAGTTTTAATCCTAATTTTGAAACCTTTTGATTCTGATGCATTCCTCCACCTTCTTAATTTTATTACTCGTTTCTCTTTAAAAGTGTCCAATACATGCACCATGGAATGTCTCCCTCAAGTCTTTTGTGAATTCATTTCATATTATTGCAAATAAATATAAACTTAGTGTAGACTTTTGGTGTAATCCTACGTCTATAGAAAAATAACTAGTCTCACCACCTGTAGGGCGAACTCTAATTTCTGTATTTACATACATATCGTGAATAATATTTATCGTTTCTACATGAATTTGTTTTCTTTTTAAAGCCTACCAAATTAGATCTCTCGACACTATCATATGCTTTTTCTAAATCTATAAAGATCACAAGTAGATCTTTTTGCTTACTCCTACACTCTTCAACTGAGATTTGAGGTTTGCTCTTTCTATTGCTGATTGATGGATTCTTGGGGGATGTATTTGGCGCTCGTGAGCACCCTTGAAGGTGACCTTTTTTTGGTTGGACAACAGCTTTTGGGAGGATCTTGACCATGACAATCTAAGGAGGAGACATTAGATTATTGTTAATTGGTGCCGCATGTGCAAGCGGGTGGAGGAGTCAGTTAATCATCTTATTCTTCATCGTCCTTGAGCTAGGGAGGGTTGGGATATGCTTTGTGCTATTTTTGGGATCCTGAGTCCGCGGTTAGCTTGATTGCCGCTAACTCGCTAAGGGTGGTTGCCGGGTGTGGCCCCAAGAAATGCGTGGAGGACAACCCCTCTTTTCTTGCGGTGGGTTCCTTGGAAGGAGAGGGATGGGAGATCCTTTATTTTATTTTATTTTTGGATGGGGGGTGGATATTCTATGATTAGTTCTCTATTCTTTTGGGTTCAGGGTTCCAATTGTAAATCTATGGAGATTCTTGTCTTTTGTAGATAGCTTGAGGCTAAAGTTTTTGTGGAGTTGTTCTGGGCCGCATCCCCCTGTTGGGCGCTCTTCAATGAATACCTAAAAAAAAAAAAGTAAATTCATAAATTCATAGTTTGCTTCAATGAATTCCTTCCTTAAACTTTGATCCATCTCCTTGGCATAAATTCATAGTTTCATCTTTTCAAAATCATATTGAGATATAATATGTTAAACGTTCTCAAAGTTTTCTTTAAGCACCAATGACCCTTTCTTTAAAGGAATCGGAGCGGGAATGCAAATTCTAGCAGACGATTAAGTGGATTTTCAGATTGATGAATAAGGAGACAGACTTTTTGGCAGAGTGACCTAACACCTTGGAGAACAGGGCATTTTTCTACCCTCATTGAGGGAGTTCCGGGTTGAGGGTCATTTCCTTGGTTGTGTCCTTTCTACCAATTGTTCCTTCTCCGCTGTTCTTTTCCTTCTCTTCATGCTTAGGCTAAGTAGGATTTCTCATCTTCCCCGACCTTAACATCATATCAATATCCTCTCTTCAATAATTTCTTTGGTTTGATATCAAAAGCATTTCTTAAAGAAAAACATATCAATATCCTCTCTTCAATAATTTCTTTGGTTTGATATCAAAAGCATTTCTTAAAGAAAAAAGGTACAGAAGACAGAAAGAAAGGTCACATTGGCCCTTTAAAATTAAAGAAAGAAGGAATCCTAAACATTCAAATAAGGAGGCAAATCTTTCAAATAAGGAGAAGCTATTAAAACCTTCTAGCACAAATGACATCAATAACTGAACTCCACAATACTTAAAATTACCCTGAACAAAGAGAAGAGTAAAAGCCCTTATTCGCAAGCATGGATAATAACAAAAAATTGACCAACTCTATATTTGTGTTGTACATTGATTTATTATATAAGATCCCCTACTAATCAAGTGATAAACAGTATCTTTCATAAGCTCTTCTATCCCTTCCAAATTCCTTCCCAAACTCCTACTCTAAGAAAAACTCCAAATTCCTTACTTCTTTATAAGGGCACATCCCCGGAGCCCTGGTCAAGATAATAGTAATTCTTACCTTGGAATCCTAGAAGGAGGTCCATGGTACCAACACAATTAGAATGACACAGATAAATATAAGATACTATTGAAGATTTAATGGAGGAATCAGTGGAGGAAAATCTTTTAGTAATTCATGTTATTTCTTATTATTGAAGATTTGGTGTTACTAGAGGAACCAATGGAGAAAAATCCTCCTTGTTTCCTATTTTCTAATTCTTTCCATTCTCATACTTTCTCCTCCTCCTCCTATATAAAGGAGCCTCCATCATTGTATTGTATATGAATTGAGGGAGTATTATAAAAGTGATGTAGCCCTTTGGGCTCTTTGTGCAGTGGATGTAGGCCCTAATGGCTGAACCGCGTAATATATTCGTATTTTTCTCGATTAATTTCTCTTCACATACGTTTTATGCTTTACAACATGGTATCAGAGCCTAATTTCTCTTCCTAGGTTCGGACCCCTATTTTGGGGTATTCCCTTAGCATCTAAAATGTTGCTAAGGGTTTCTCGGTACTATTTGTGACTCGTTTGGACTGCCAATTTGTTCGGCAGTAATGTTATTCGCTTTTGCCGTGTCTCAGGCAATTTTTATCAACTTGTTTGGGCCACCGGTATGTTTGAGAGCATTGTCCTCGCCTTTACCGTGTCTCCGACAGTTTTTTGTTGACTTAGTTGGACTGCCGGTGTGTTCGGTAGCATTGTCTTTGTCTTTGCCGTGTCTTCGGCAGTTTTTATTGGGTTGCCGGCGAGTTCGGTGGGATTGTTCTTGGTCTTCTCACTTCTCTCTTCATCATTCACAATTGTTATTACTCGTCATCTCAATGGCAAGTTGGGCATTCATGCTCCAACTTGAGGGGAAGTATTGAAGATTTAATGGAGGAATCAGCGGAGGAAAATATTTCAGTAATTGATATTATTTCCTATTATTGAAGATTTGGTGTTACTAGAGGAATCAATGGAGAAAAATCCTCCTTGTTTCCTATTTTCTAATTCTTTCCATTCTCATAATTTCTTCTCCTATATAAAGGAGCCTCCACCATTGTACTGTATATGAGTCGAGAGATTATAATAAAAGTGATGTAGCCCTTTGGCTCTTTGTGCCGTGGATGTAGGCCCTAGTGGCTGAATCATGTAATATTTATGTGTTCTACTTGTTTTATTCTTTACAACAGATACCATGGAGGACTACGTAACATACTTCTGATAATAGTTAATCAACCAACTCGACAGGTATACATCATTTTCCACCTCACTAATCTCAGATTTACCCTCTCTAAATAAACATATCACAGTTACAGCATCTTAGCTTTGAATGAAGAATTGTACGGGAAGACAAGGTAAGAAGGAAGATTGACAAATAAGCAGCCAAATAGATATCGAATGCTCAATAAAAATAATATTTCCCAGTCACATTAATTTTTGGACAGATTGCCATCAAACTAGCACAGCATATATCACAATTTCATAAAAGATTCAATAAGATCAACAAGAAACCCGTCATCTCTGTAAAAAAGAAAGTATTAGGTAATGCAATCTCGAGAGGCAGTGAAAATTGGACTTCTTGATGTATAATCACTTAATCAGTAATCGAAGCCAATACATGTAATACCATAAGATACAATATAATACCAGAGTTTTCAATCGAGTACCCATATTTCTGTAATATTAGTGCAGTAAGATTCTTTTAAAAAATCACTTTTCAATATTATTCTCTGTGCCTAAGGTTCTATAGTAGGGATCAATTATTTTGTATTGGGTATTAGAGAGCAAAATACAACTCCAGACAGATTGAACTCTGGAATCATTCAAGGAAGGGCTAATTATTGGTTAGTTTCTTCTTTAAGTATATCTGCAGTATGTCACTGGGCCTTGTTGCGATTTTTTATATCATTTGGTGCAAGACTGCAAAGCTCTAATTAGTCTTCATTGGGGAAATCCTCAATGTCAGAAAAAGGTAAGAAAGTCAATTCACTACCTCCCACCTTCTCCCCTTCCGCACATCAACCTTGACTAACACAGTTGAAAACAGTCTTCTAGAGAACACAATGGCCAAACTAAGGGTGAAAGTGAAGTACTTCAGCAAGTAATATTTCTAATATTAAGTAATAGCTGTTCTATTTGATTCATGCAATATTGTGTGTGAATTTATGGAAGGAGCATAGTTTGTCCTCCGATTAAATTGGTCAAGAATCAGATAGATCCATTCCACCTAAAGTAAACAATTTGTTCTTGACGAGTACATAATTAGTCAACCTGAAATACAAGGGCATGATGCAGGCTTCATAATTCAGGTCCTTAACAGGCAATCAGGATTAGTGTTTCCTGTAACTTTATTTAGGTATGACTAACAATTAAAGGAAAAGAATTTTGGGAGTGGAGTTAAGGATTATCAAAGATGATTAAAATGACTTGTAAGTGACTTAAAAGAAGAAGAAGAAGAAGAAGAAGAAGAAGAAGAAGAAGAAGAAGAAAGAAAGCAATTAAAACCACTGAAAAGAATGATGGAATTTTGCATGGATGACCTATAGAGGATGGTTGGCTAAAAAAACAATGACGCGATTAAGTCACAAGAAATTCAGAAGATGTCGGGAAGTGAGAATAAATGACAGTAAGAAGAGAGAGAGTGTGTGTGTGTGTGTGTGAGTGTGTGTGTGTGTGTGTGTGTGTGTGGTGGGGGAAGAAGAGAAAAAGAAACTCCCAAAGGCACTTTCTTTAGAAGAAAAGCAAATTACACCCTAAGTAAAGCTTATCCTTTCATTCCTTTTTAAACCAAAATCCCTAATAACAAGCAATCCCAGCCATTGGATTAAAATAACCCCAGCATCTAGTGAAACCCCAAAGATAAATACACACTACTACTTATAGCCAGAGCAACAGCATTATGAACATAAACTTGCTCCAGTAGCATAAATAGTGCCCAACTTAAACACAATGCAACTGTTCATGTAATACTTAAAACATGGAATAAAATCCAGCATGTAATACTTAAAACATGGAAATTGAAGGATCAAGTTAAAATCTGTAAGTAAACGTATGTAGCCATGACATCCCATATGTACCCGATACCATCTTCATAATGCCATGTAAGAAATTTGGGGACTTTGAACGAAGGTCTTTGAAACTATATCCCATACTCGGGACGTGTCCAAAGTTACCGGTGATGAAACTAACGGCAGATACTCACACATATGTTGAAAGTACAGGAGAATGAAAAACTTGACTGCATATAGAAGGGCAAGATCACCAAAGTTTTCAGCATATTGTAAGGCTATGAGATAGTTCCACTTACATTGCGTCCCACACCATTGCACAGACTTCCAATTAAATAAACCCCATAGAAACAACCTACTAATAGTCATCATTAATATCATTGCTTACTACCATGAATCATGATACCATCTTCTTTTTGTATAAATTATCAAAGAATGACATAGGAAAAAATTATCAAATAATGCATTTCTAGGATATGTTTGATTGTAATCATCAATATACCTCATCTTTTGACACAAGGAATAAAAGGTTATTCTAGAATGAGAGGGATGGATTGACCATATACCATTTTGAAGAAAAACTGATCTATCAATCAACTAACTAAAATTTTCATGTGCAAATTCCACCAGGGCAGAGTTTAACAAGCTGATACATTGACTGTACAATTTTGAATAACTGCCCTGTCAATCAGCTAAATAATCTCTTATACCCAAATTCCACATGGGCAGAGTTTAACTGTCAAATTCTCAAACTTGCACCAAAGAATCTACAAAATTCTTGCATATTACCAAAGGCAAAAAGTAAAAACTAAAGAATGTCATCAACGTTATATTCTAGCTAAGTTAACTACAAGAGGTGCAAAGTGAGAGGGAAAGGGGAAGGAGAAACAGCCTGCCCTCAAGTTTGTTAAGTGCTCTACCCAACTACTTAGATGCTACCTTGAAGAGTGATAATCCCATAGGATACTCGAAAGCTCAGGAGAGGTTGAGCCTCACTTGGATCACAGACAATCTAGCAAACCAAAGCTAAGAGCACACCTGAACACAACACTGCACATAGGTTAAAACTACCTTACAAAAGAAATACAAGTTGAACATGACAGACCACTAACATGGCAGCCACATTCAAGAATATGACATTCAAATCCTAAGGTAAGAAAAGGCCATTACTTAGTAGGCCAGTGTCACGACTAGGGCTGCAAATGAACCGAGTTGTTCATGAACAGCTCGGGCTCATTCGTTAAACAAATGAGCCAAGCTTGAGCCCAATTTTTAGGCTCGTTTAGTAAACGAGCCGAGCCTGAACAATGTTGGACTCGGCTCGGCAAGCTCGTGAACAAGCTCATTTAGTAAAATTTTATTTGATTTATTCTCAGCCCAAATAAATAATTACCCATTAAAATTACACTTAAGCCCGTATCATAATGTTGGCCTATAATTTTACTTTAGAAGTCCAACTTATAAGCCCATATGCATTCAAAATTTTAAATAAAAATAAAAAAATAAAAAAAATAAATAAATAAATAAAAAAACTAAAATCTCCAGGCTAATACGCACCTCAGCCCTAACTTATCTCATTCTTGCCGCCACACTTCATCACCAATCTCTCAGCCTAACTTATCTCATTCTTGCCGCCACACTTCATCTCCAAGCTCATCTCTCATTTGTCATCTCTCATGTCTCATCTCTCTTACTCTGGTGTAGTTAATCCACGCTACATCTTCAGCAGCCATGTGATTTGTGAGGAGATGGTCAACAATCGCGATGGAGACAGAAGGAGAAGATCGATGAGCAATGGATGAAGTTGCTTGGCTTATAAAGTCAAGGTCTGAACTGTATACATGGATTTCTTCATATATACACGGATTCTTGTATAAATTTGGTATTGTATATTTCTCCTCAGTATAAGATATATATATACACACACACACACGCACGAGAATGAGATGGGTGTGTTGGGCCAAACGAGCTCGAGTCGAGCCCGAGCTTGCCAAGAAACTCACGAGCCGAGCTCGAGCACCCTTCTGATCTTGACAAGCCGAGCCCGAACATGCCAAAGCTCGGCTCAGCTCATTTGCAGCCCTAGTCACGACCCGCCCTGCTGTATAGATAATGTACATTTTACACACTCTCCATACTCACAGTTTTCAAAACACGTCTAACTATGTAGAGGCCCCTTAAATCCTAATTGTGTAGACACGTTTTGAAAACTGTGAGCATGGAGAGTGTACAAAGCGGACACTGTATACACAGCGGGGTGTGACACTTGGAGGGAAAGACAATAGACATACCTAACCTTTTTACTTGTGTTACACGGACTCTCCTATCCACTCAGCGTACTCATGTTGACAAGATACACCATGGGCATGGATAAGATATATGCGTTTGCGATTCGTTCTAGATCAAACCACCAAATTCAAAAAAAAAATTATATATATATAAATAGGTGTCCGAGACACAAACCCAAATTGTAAATTTAATTCTTAATATACATGATTATGACGGAAGGAAAAAAATAAGAAGAATAAGCTCAAACTTGATAATAGAAAAGAGTTTCCTACTTATAAGATTGATAGAATTCCTTTCTTAACCACATTCCATTCAACTAAAAGCATAATTGATTGTATACTTAAAGAAAAATAATATGATATATTACACTATTATATAACATCTAATGCATTACAATACGCATGGCATGTTTACATACCCGTACACAACTTTTAGACACATTTTAAGTGATGCCCCTTTATCCTAACATTTGGGATTTAGAGAATTCCAACATTTAAACATGCAACTGCATCCAATACACAGACCGGATCCCCAAAACATAGATTTTTACAATATTTTGCACAAATTAGCTGCTCTAAGGTAATGCCCCAAAAATGATGACCTTCTTAATGGGCATGCCACCTCCCGACCAACTATAACCTTATAGCTGAGATTAATTCTCAGGTTGCTCCTACCTCCTCAGAAGAACATTATAGTACTGAAGACCTCTTAGACAAAACTCCATAATGGACTATATTTCGTACTTTTGTAGACTGGTTATACATATTTTAGGATATCAAAATACTTAATCATTCACTGTTTATTCCACGCTGCTGAAAACTATTCCATATAGGTTTTGTTACTGAATAGATGTCTTCAAGTAACTAATTGTTGGAAGCCTTCTAACAACTGCAAGGATAAACTCTTGGAAACAATGAATGGCAACATTTAGCTAAGGATGCCTGGATTATTTAATTTTTGAGGAAATCTCAACCATATATTAGCATAAAAAATAACTGCATTGGACTTAGACTGGGAAAATTGCTACTGGGAATATAAACGAGTTTCACTGGAGTTAAAACATAGACAATTTATCAACCAACACCTACAAGTGAAGGATGTCACCGATGGATTAAAAGGTAAAAAGCAGCAACTCTTACAAGTAAATGGGAACTTCCAAGACCCCGTGCAGTGTCAATATAAAGATGTCTCCCTAATATGTTGACTTGAACTCTAATGTATAAGCTAAGCACTGTCATTGTCCAAAGTGACACCACCATTCTTGTGAAACCTGCACAGACCGCAAAAGCCGCACACAAGGTAAGCTAATCATGATTTTTTATTGCAATAAGATTAGGGAAAATTCTAAGTTATACTGTATTAATATTACAGGCACCGCAGTGTAAAAAAAAAAGTAAAAAGATTAACCAATTCATACTTAGAATTTTCAGTCTCTCCCATAGCTCAAGTTTCTGCGAAGGATTCAAAGTGTTGGGCTGACCCTTCCCTTTCATTAGCTGCTCTGTCAGGTGCAGAAGGTCCAACTCTTCTGCCACCCGACTACTCAAATAGAGCATTGCATGAGGTAAAGTTGTTGTATCAGCTATCCTTTGAATGTTCTCAAAATGTGCTTGCATTCTATCAACAATCAAAAACCCTAAAAAAAATCAGAACCCAAATAACATGCATCTCTGCAGAATAGAAATCTTGTCAACAAAATGAAATACCAGAATCCGGCTCTTTACTTAACTGGGTTTTAAGGAGCTCATCATTTTCAAGCTCGCTGGCAAGTTCTCTCTCCAGATCAGAGAGCCTACGTGTGTAAGTATCATAAAGCTTGTAGAAAAGATACCCACTTCCAAAAACGCCAACAGTAACATACACCTTCCTCCTATGCCTTCTCCAAAACTCCCTATTACACATAAATCCATCACAAACAATTGAAGTACCAATCAAACTTTGAATTTGATCATATATAATTATCCAGCCGAAAAACAAGTAGTTGAACCTCAAAACAGTATTTTCCAAGATAACAAATCATGTCTTACAAAAGAAATTACAAAAACGAAAGGACCCAGATGAAGAACAAAGGGTATTTGAGGCACAAAAGTTAGTTCTCACAGTATACGGCCTCTCTGAGCTCCAAACCCTCCCAAAAAAAAAACCAATTTCAACAAAATATTATACAATCAAGCAGAAAAAAATACAGATAAGGGAAGTATCAGTTAGAAATGAACAACAGAAATAAACCAACCACATTCAATCTCTCTTCGTTTGCCGGTCTTTATAGCTCCGTTCGATCGCTTTCCCACCGGCCTCGAACGTGGCCGGGGCTTCTCTCTCTTTCTTTCTCTCTCTAGAACGAAGGAAACTCTAGGAAAGGGTTCAAGAAATACAATGGTCCGAGGGACTTCGAACAACTCACCTCGCAGTCAGTAATAAAATATGGGTGTTTGTTTGGAACCAAAGAGAGACAAAGGTAGGGAAACAAGTTCCCTCCCCCTAAACACACACTCATTGGAGTAATATCTATTGAATAAAATACATTTACCTTCCCCTCTAGTTTAGAAGATATTTTTATATTTTAAATAATTACAATTATCCCTCTTTTAGTTATACGAGTAAAAAATGTAGAAGAACTCTATAATTAAATACTAATATTTTAATGGACTACAAATAAAAAATATTAACATAAAAAAAATGAATGATTTGGGTAATATAATCATAATATAAAAAGAAAAAGAAAAAATAGTTGACTATAATCATCAAATAAAAATATTTAATAAGATGTGAAACTCAACTCATATATGACTTATTTAAATTAATAAAATATTTAAAATGAAGTTTTACGGGTGCATTTTTTTAGTTAAATCAACCTCTTTGAGATTAACTTATAAATTAATTTGATTCATTTGTTTTATTAATGTAATTCTGAGAAAAAACAAAATTTGGTTAGTGAATATAAAATAAATTATAAAATTCAAAAGTGATATATATGAATGTATATCCTTTACGAAAAAAGAAACAATGTGACATTTTAGGAGGAAAATTAATAACAATGATTTAGTTTTAAAATGTATAAACTCTCTATTTTTTTTTATATAAATTAATCTAAAAATACTCAAAATAAACTAAGAAAAACAAAATACTCAAAATAATCAACAATCAATTAACTAACCAAGAACCCACATGCTGACAATGGGAATAAACAATGGTAACGCTTTCATCAATCAAATGCGTCCCTAATCCAAAATGTGCCATTTAGAAAGAAAATTAATAAGGTAATGTATTTTTTTTGTAACTGTCGAAATTTTAACAAGGGTAATATTGTGGATAAAACTACTAAAATGTGTTGAAATCCCAAAATGTGCAAGTGTGTAGTTCTTATTTAAAAAATTATTTAATTTAAAACTGAAATATTAAAAAAAAAAAAAAATTAGCGTAACTGAAATATTAAATTGGATGATTGCTTATTGTGGATACTTTTGTTTTTTTAAAAAAATATATATTAAAAAAATGTTTGAAAATAAAAAAATAAAAAATAAATAAATAAAAAAGTTACTATTTAAGCCTATTGATAACCTTCCAAAACCAACCTCTTTTTCTTTCTTTCCAACCATTTTTGCTAAACATAATTTTTTAATCACCCTCCATTACCTTTCCTTTCCTTTCCTTTCCTCCTAACTGACCCTTACCGTGCAAAGCCCCTAACTAACTAAATTTAAATTGACATGGAAACTTTTGTTTTTTAAAAATAGAGCAGCTATCCCCCGAATTAATCACCGAACTTGACGTGACCACGTCAGATTCTCACCCTTTTTTTGCATGAGGGAGCAAAAGAGTTCATCATGTGCAGGTAAAAAAAAAAAAAAAGAAAAAAAAAAAAAGGAAGGAAGGTGGGAAGGTGATCGTGAAAAAGGAATACCGTAAAGCTCAATAGTTTCCATAATTAGAAAAAAACTTATCTTTATCAATTTTTACTTTTTTTTAGGAATCGACTTATCTTTATCTTGTTATGTAGTATCTTTTAGATTTTTTTTTTTATAATTGATATATTTAAGAATTTACACTGTACCGATTGAATTGCTGTTGGAGAAGCAAACTTATTCAAAACCCTAGATAGAGAGAAAGAGTCAATCCCGAATCAATTAGTAATGTTGTGAATACTCCCGAATTTTTGTACGTGATTCGAATACAAGATGATCATGTAATTCTTAAAATCATATCATTGAGTAATACATAAATCTATTGAGAAATTTGTAGAAAAAAATCTTTGAATATTTATGATCTATTACTAACATATATGTAATTGTGTGTGTATATATATTTCTATTTGTATATATACACCTTCTTTTGGTCATCTTCACAATGTTTATCACTACATTACCTTCTCAAACAAATGTTTTTTTTTATTTATTTATTTATTTATTTTAGGGGTGAACTAAGCACGTGATGGCTCTTTTACTCTTCACGCGTAAGAAGTTTTAGAGAAATTTTAGAGAATCTGACATGCCAAGCCACGTTAGATTCGATCATTTTTTCGGGGATTACCCTTAGGCCCCCTTATCATTTTCCTTCAAAATAAAAAGAAGAAAAAATAGTCCAATACTTATTATGCAAAGCCCCTACCTAACTAAAATTAAATTGAAATAAATGTCGTGAATTGAGAGTACAATTGTCCTTTTGTAATATCAGTGATCTAGCGGTATCAGATTCCTACTTTCTAAAAAGAGGGTTAGGGTTCGAGCTTCAATGAAGACATAGAAAAAATTGTCAGTATCAGATTCCTACTTTCTAAAAAAAGGGTTAGGATTCGAGCTTCAATGAAGACATAGAAAAAAAAAAAAAAAAAATTTGCACAGCCATTAGGCAAAATCATTTTCACTTCTAAGGGTCTGTTTGGTTAGATAGAAATAGATGATGGAAAGTGAAAGTGAATGAAAGTGAAGTGAAGAAAAAAAAAATTAAGTTTCCATAGTGCATTTGGTTAGTATGAAAAATTTTCAAGAAAGTTGTGAGAAAATATTATGTTGTTAGTTTGGATAGAATGAAAAAGAAAAGAAAATGATTGTACTTGTCAAAATTGCCCTTATAATTTTAAATACTAAAAATATAAATAAATTTGAGTAAAATTAATTCATGCATCAAATTTTGTTGTTGATAATAATATTCTGAACTTGTGTGAGATGCCAATTCACTGGTTACTCAAAAAATTTTAATATATATATATTAAATATATATATATATATATGATTTTGACCTTACAATTTATATAGTAATTGTAAGGATTTTGATGAAATCGAATAAGATTAGGATTGTTTCACTAGATGTTTGTTTGTATATAATAGAATAACTAAAACCAATAGAATTTTACACATAACAACCAAGTTTATAAGGGTTTTCTTTTTCAATTCAACTAGAATTATATAATTATAAAATATTTTGTATTATTCTTTTTAAGGAACGTATTTATTTCCAAAAATTTATAATAACTCTAGTATCAAAATTCTAAAACCTAGTTGATATGTATATATACATATTGAAAATTAATATAATGCACTTAAAAAATATCCACCATAATATGTTACATGTATATATGTATTTGGAATGGGAAAAAAACAGAAGAAAAAAAAAAAGGGAAAAAAGAATAAAGCAATAAAAATAGATTTTTAAAAAAAATTGCTAAAAATAAGATCTCTCCAATTTCACGATTTCGTTTGCGTTTGAAAAAAAAAAAAATGTCTATCAAAAAGGGACAAAAAGATAAAGGAAACCCAAGTTATCCAACTGATAATTATGGGTATAATAGGAATTTAAAATATAACTTAACAACTTTCCCGAGAAATAAAAATTTTCGCGTGTTTTATGCAGGAATCGTTTTAAAGAAAATTAGCTACTTGCGAGAATTCAGTTTCCTGAAAATTTTCCGTTTCATCCTAAACAAACGCACAGAAAATTTAAATATTTTCCAATTCTTTTCTTTTCTTGCTAGTTCTACCTAACCAAATGAACCCTAAAGGAATATTTGTCATATGAAGATAGAAAATTTGCATAACTTGGGCCATCTTTAAACATTAGTGAAATTGATGGCAATGGTCTCAAATTGGTACACACACATAGAGGTTGTTTGGCAAGTGTTTTGTTTAATTTTAGGCCTACTACAGTAGCCCATTTCAAGCCCAAAACATGTTTGGTTAGGCTTATTGTGTTTCAAACAGTTGCAAAACAATTTAAAAAACGGACCAAAAATATGAAACACCATTTTGGTGTTTTTTGTTGTTTTGGTATTGTTTGGGCTAAAAATTACTGTAAAGAAGCAAAAACCATCATTTTACTTTAGCGGAGGCAACAATTGAAGGACATATAAAAGAAAAAAGCTGCAACAATCTAAGGTTCATGTTTGCTCTGGCGATTCTTGGTGACTGCTAGGCAACAACTGAAGGACGTATAAATCCAAGGTTCCACTACTGTTTTTGGCCGATACCTTCAACGATTTGCATTCCTTTGCAGTTATTTTCGACGATCTCGACAGGTTTGACGACTTTATTTGAATATCTGAGTTTTTTTTTTGTTTTGCGGTTGCAAATCTACAATATTTGAGTTTTTTTTTTTTCTAAGAGTTTTGCGTTTGGTCATCGATGTCTATTACTCAACCTCTATTTGTTTGGATTTCATGATTTTTATTTTTATTTTTATATCTAATTAACAATGAGTTTTGCTTTCGGAAGATTTCTTAGCATTACAATATTTGGTTTCACTTTGAATAGACGATGGAAAGACCAATCTAAAAGCTAGTTCTTTGTAGGCTGTTTGTTCTTTAGTGTTCAATGCTCTGGGTTGTTGTTGGTTACCTAACGAGTTAAATATACCTTCGTTTTTAAATGTATTGACTCTACATATAGGAACTACTTTTAGGCTTGCCCATGAACAATCACCAAAAGTGGATATTGATTGGGTGAACAATTTATATGAATGCATTGTGAATCTTTGACAGGACTATTGATTACCTAGCGAGTTATGACCATTATGTGGTCCGAGAGTCACGGGTACCAACCATTAGATAACCTCAATCTGAAACTTATCCGGTTTGATTTACTGATTGTTTGGTAAAATGCTTGAAAGAAAAATATTTTCATGGAGTTCAATATTTCTATATTTCTTTTACTGATGGCGAACTCAATATTTCTTGTGTTTACTGACCATACACTATCACGCGAAAGCCGTCCACTCCAAAGTTCGTTTTCCTGAGGACTCACTTTCTCTCTCTCTCTCTCTCTCTCTCTTTCTACATATATATATATATATATATATATATATATATATGATTATCTTGTTTTTCCCATTTGTAGACACATATATTCTATTGGCTACATCCAAATTTCTCTGCATTTTGTACATTCTTAATTTTTTGTGCTATAGTAGTTCACATATCTGTTTATAGATCATTATTTCTTCTTTGTGGGTTGTCAATCA